CAATTTTCGTCCAGCATTGCAGAATATCATGTATATAACAAATTCCGGGTTTAACTGAAAAGCTGGTAAAAATGTTCAAAAATCATTGCAATCTTGAAAATATTAAAATAGTGGAACATTACCCACGTAAAGCTCAATCTATTTTTACTAACCTTAAAGATCCAACACCCTTGCCTTACAAATCTGGGATTGTTTACAGTGTTTCATGTGGTGGTTGCGGTGGTTGCTATGTGGGACAAACTTCTCAATGGTTGAAAAAGAGAATTAGCAAATATAGAAGTGACATACGTTGTAATAAGAGATCTTGTGCTCTTGCACAACATAGTTTAGATAATGGTCATATCTTCGATTTTGATAATACTAAAGTTTTAGATGTGAGTAATAATTATCACAACAGCGTTTTTTTGGAGATGTTCCACATAGCAATTACCAATGATACTGTGAACTATAGAACTGATATAGATTCTTTGAGTAACATTTATGCTTTGATTTTCGACTTTTGTAAAAATAAATTTAAAAATTCTGATGTATCGTTGGTTGCGTAGTTGGGATGTTGTTTGCACAACCTTTGTTTATAACTTTCGCGCACTTTTCGCTTCACGAATGGTTGCCGGTTTACTTTTTGTTTCATTACGCTCATACGTTTGGTTGGGTTAACACGTTATGGTTGTAACGGCGTGGTTTTGTTTTTTATATGAAGAACAATTAAGACGTAATACTTTTGTATTTAACTTTTGCCCGGTTTCTTTACAATCGTGAGTTACTTTTGTACTTTTATGTAATTTGAAAGTTTTGACTTGATATTTTGTAGTGAGTTCACTCCCTGAAGAAGATTCAATATAGAATCCAAATATTGGAATGATTAATGGATTGTCGTTTTTTAATCCATTATCGTATCCTGGAACAACAACTTTTACGTGTCGCTAACGGGATAAACAAATATCTCCTTCTAAATATAACAAATTCAACTGCTAACCTAGTTTTGAAAATTTTCTGTGTTTTTTAATTATTTTTATTAAATAAAATATTTTAGTATTTTTCAGTTCCTTAACGGTTTGCTCGGCAGCTTTCTTGTACTCATAAAATTTTGTATTTCATTTTGTCTTACTTTTGGTAAGATTTAAATTTATTTTAGCATATTTTTGTGCTAACGATGTGATTACTATTACTAATAGGAAAATTTGCACCTCACACTTTGCAGAAATTTACCACAGCGGTATGAATAATTTCATTCTTTTTTTAAAATTTACTCTAATTAATCAACATAGGCTAATTTTAAAATAATACAATAAAAAATATTGTTCAAGGAATACAAGAAAGTTTACATTTTCTATAATTGGATTTATTTATTAAAAATTGTTTAATCTCGATTAAACAATGTTTTATTCAATTTTTTCTTTTAATTTTTTACTTTCTTTAATAAGGTCAGCAGACAAATTACCAAACGTCGCTGACCAAACGCATCGCTCGCACCGCATAATTGCGTAACGCACACCGCGCGCAATTATGCGACCTAAATTAATTAGTTTTTTAATCGCTTATTAATTGTTAAGTTAGCATTAGGATTTGTATATAAACCCCAAATTTTGAATTAATAAACGGTATTATTGATATNCCATACATACATACTATGATGGAACATAATGTATCAATTTTTTTTGTTCTTTCTGAAACTATTGTATGTATTTATAAAACTTAACTGTTGTTATGGTGATAACCATACCATGATGGAAAACATTGTTTCCAATTATTGTCAAAGTTGGTAGCAGTATTTAAAAATTCACTAACAACTCTGGCATTTTCAATATGATGGAGCACCATGTGCTGGTGTTAAATATATCATTTGAGACATATTTAATGGCAAATTGTCGACCAAAGGTTCAATGTGCTGCCTTAATATATTGAAATATTTACCTTAGTTTAAATTTTTATGGTAGATACTATAGGCCAAAATTCTATTATCTAAAAGGGCATACCATACATTGAACCCTAATCTTCTTTGAACACTCAGAGACTCAGAGGACACATCGGTCCAGATGACATTTTGAACAAACAGCAGATTATTTAATTTTTCTGAATATCATCTACAAAATTCTAGTCTTAGATTGACATCTCCGGCACGTAAATAATGAGTTAGCCCAGTTTTGTATGGTTTATACTTATTTTTCTTTCACATTCGGGAGCAGCGGCTTTTGGGTCAGACGTCTTGTTCAATTTCTCTGCAAGATGTTGATGGATTTATCGCAAGTGAAGCCAACACATTGACTTCATCCTCTTGCTAAAATCTATTAAATTTTCTGCTAACTGGCTGAAAGTTCTTACGTGCGGTTGTCTCCTTTCCGGATACCTTGTGAAACATAATTCCGCGGCTAACGTCGCATTCTCATTTGATAACCTATAGCATTCCATCATGTAACAGTTTTCATAATTTTCGGAATTCATTGTAAAGTTTTGTTACACTTTGACACTTAACATCCCGGTGCTTCATACCAGCACATAATGCCAGAGTTGTTATCGAATTTTTAAATACAAACTTAAGCAATTATTTGATACATTATGTGCCACCATAGTATGTATGGTTATCACCATAGCAACATAACTTTTAAATACATACATTAGTTTTAGATAGAACAAAATGAATTTTTGTTAATTATTCAA